GGTCGTGCTCCGACGCAAAGGTCACTGGCTCTTCGTCAACAGGCGAATCGGCCTCAAAAGAGGACCAAAGTGATCGACTGCATCGTTTAAGTTTAAGCAGTCGTCACTAGCTTCGCCTGTGTCCCCTCGCAAGATCTTATCGGCGAGGGAGGATCTAGACTTCATGAAGAGGTCTTGAGCCTTTTTGTAAGCCGCCGACCTGTCACTGGTAATGGGTGTGACACGGCCGTAGTTGTACTCACGCCCTTGTCTTGGGGCGTTATTCTTGGCTGGTCGGCGGGTGCTCCTGTGTCTTCTGGCAGACTGCGTCATAGTTACTCCCGCCGTTTACCCGCGCTTGCTTGAATTTCTTCACGTTGACATTCAGAGCACTGGGCAGAAATCACATTGAGTCAACACCCGCAGGGGCCATCTCAATGCTTTGTTTTAATTAGACAGTCGGATTCCCCCGGTCCGTGCCAGTTCTGAGCTGACCGTTGAATGGCGGCCGAAGAGGACACCAGAACGCCCTTGCGAGCGCACTCTGGGCCTCGCAGCAAGACGGTTCCGCGGGAGGCCAAGGCACGGTACCGAGTTCGGATCCGCAATCCTACCGCACACGCGCGAACGCATACGACAGAACGTTTCACCTCGCCCAGGCCCGGCACGTCAGCCGCGACCCGCTTCCTCGCCAAGCCCGACACGCCCCGATCCTCAGAGCCAATCCTTATCCCGAAGTTACGGATCCAATTTGCCGACTTCCCTTACCTACATTATTCTATCGACTAGAGGCTCTTCACCTTGGAGACCTGCTGCGGATATGGGTACGAACCGGCGCGACACCTCCACGTGGCCCTCTCCCGAATTTTCAAGGTCCGAGGGGAAGACCAGGACACCGCTGCAACTGCGGTGCTCTTCGCATTCCAAACCATATCTCCCTGCTAGAGGATTCCATGGAACTCGAATGCTTATGCAGAAAAGAAAACTCTTCCCTGGTCTCCCGACGGCGTCTTCGGGTCTTTTTGGGTTACCCCGACGAACTCTCTTGCGAGGGCCCGACTATTGTACGGTTCCGCTGCCGGGTTTCGGAATAGGAACCGAATTCCCTTTCGCCCGACGGGCGTGTTCTTTATATATACACACATACATACATATATTTATAAAACAACGCCACATCAACATCGGCTTTCGCCTAGGGCTTAGGATCGACTGACTCGTGTGCAACGGCTGTTCACACGAAACCCTTCTCCACGTCAGTCCTCCAGGGCCTCGCTGGAGTATTTGCTACTACCACCAAGATCTGCACCGACGGCGGCTCCAGACGGCCTCACGGCCAGCCCTTCTGCGCGCACCGCCGCGACCCTCCTACTCGTCAGAGCTTCATGGCCGATCCGTTTTTACGCGGATCGAGACCGCACATGCCGCTGACGGCCGAGTATAAGCACGACGCTTCAGCGCCATCCATTTTCAGGGCTAGTAACTGCGGCAGGTGAGTTGTTACACACTCCTTGGCGGATTCCGACTTCCATGGCCACCGTCCTGCTGTCTTAAGTTACCAACGCCTTTCATGGTATCCCATAAGCGTCGATTTAGGCGCTTTAACTCGACGTTTGGTTCATCCCACAGCGCCAGTTCTGCTTACCAAAAATGGCCCACTTGGCACTCTGATTCGATTCTCGCAGCTTCATTAGTTCGAGCAAGCCGGAGATCTCACCCATTTAAAGTTTGAGAATAGGTTGAGGTCGTTTCGACCCCAATGCCTCTAATCATTCGCTTTACCGGATGAAAACTCGTCACAGACGAGCGCCAGCTATCCTGAGGGAAACTTCGGAGGGAACCAGCTACTAGATGGTTCGATTAGTCTTTCGCCCCTATACCCAGTTCCGACGATCGATTTGCACGTCAGAATCGCTACGGACCTCCATCAGGGTTTCCCCTGACTTCGTCCTGACCAGGCATAGTTCACCATCTTTCGGGTCCCAGCGTGTACGCTCTTGGTGCGCCTCTTCTCGTAATGAGAACGAGACGCCCCGGGAGTGCGGAGCGGCCGCTTTATAGACGTGCCGCCCATCTTCCCTAAATCCGCGCTAGGCGGATCTTTACTTTCATTGCGCCTTTAGGTTTAGTTATGTCCCAATGACTCGCGCACATGCTAGACTCCTTGGTCCGTGTTTCAAGACGGGTCCTGAAATTACCCAAAGCTATAGCGTCGCAGATCGGCGTTTCAAACGAGGTCTGTCCGAGAAATCCGCACGACCAACAGTCGTCCGGGGACGGAACCGGGCGCTAGGTCCGATCGCCGTCTTAGCATCGAACGTGCTTGTCGTGGGTCGGACGCTAATTGAAGAAGTAGCGGCCTCGCGCCATCTGTATACCGTCGAGCGAGTCGGCCGGAACATCGCGGGTTCGAGCACGAATCGCCGAAACGATCGTACACGGACTCCACCGCGAGCCGTAGACCGACACCCAACGGATCGCGACGTCCTACTAGGGGAAAAGTGCACGCGTTCGACGCCGGATCGAAAAGCGAAAGGCGCGGACGACGCGCGAACGCCGTCCGTCGCGCGACCGCTCATCGCCGACGGCCGAAACGCGAATGAATTTCCCCTTTCGACCTTTCGGGTTTCTCAGGTTTACCCCTGAACGGTTTCACGTACTCTTGAACTCTCTCTTCAAAGTGCTTTTCAACTTTCCCTCACGGTACTTGTTCGCTATCGGTCTCGTGGTCATATTTAGCCTTAGATGGAGTTTACCACCCACTTAGGGCTGCACTCTCAAGCAACCCGACTCTGAGGAGAGATCCTCCCGCGATCGGCAGCGGCCACTACGGGCCTGGCACCCTCTATGGGCTGTGGCCCGTTCAAGAAGGACTTGGACTCGCCGCGCGACCTCGGATAAACGGATCCTCCCTAACACCACATTTCCCGGCGCCCGATATCGACCGCGGGATTCGGTGCTGGGCTTTTCCCTGTTCGCTCGCAGCTACTGAGGGAATCCTAGTTAGTTTCTTTTCCTCCGCTTAGTAATATGCTTAAATTCAGCGGGTAGTCTCACCTGCTCTGAGGTCGGTTAACAATATACAACACAACACCACACACAGATATATATGTCACACGCGATCGCTAATACTAAATCGTATAGCTGCTGCTGCTATACTACTACTAGTCGAAAGCGTTCTCTAGTGTTTAGCGCGTATATGCGATCAGACGTCGTTATCTCGAAAAAATAATTTCTCTCTCGGACACGACGATCGCAGCGCAAGTTCGAAACGCGTAACGACAACAGCATATATACATATGAAGGGTACAGGTCCATAAGGAGCTAAGTCGCCAAATGTTTATTTCGTACAAAACAGAGTTTAACTTTTAAAACTAGTAATTGATAAATTCTTGATGGTTATTATGAATTCTGTTAATTAGATTAGTTATTTGGGTAATTATTGAGACACACACAAGAAATTAAACTTATATTGTCATTTATACAAAGTAGACTATAAGCATTAATAGGTCAAACCATCAAACATTGTTGGCCTAAAGGGGCCAAGGCCAAGTCCAAAAAAAACAAGGTATACCGAAAAGTAGACAATATTTATTAATATAAAATATTCTTCTAGTTCTTGGCAGGTTATCGAAAAATTGTTTTGCTTCGTCACCAAAGAATCGTTTTAAATCTTGTAGGTGTTTAAATTTTTAGCCGTGATGGGTATCAAACCTAAAAATAATTTTGTTGTTTAAAAAAAATAGTATTTCAAGACATAAGTATTTTTTATACCTGAATAAGAATACGGAGGAAGTACAAATTCATTTTGCAATAGCACAGGTCCCTTTCGCTTAGTCTCTTTTCCCTTCACTATTGCTGACTCCCATGCTCCATTATAGGACTCCCGGTAATATATTAGGATGTTCTTGATGTATTTCTAATTCTCGAATAGGACGGGAACGGAAAGGACATTTCTTCAAATAATCCGTTTTGGTATTAAAAAATTTGTCCATGCTCGAAAGTAGGATTGATCTATTTCCACAACGTCAAATGGTGATGGTTTTGCACGAGCACTTCTAAAAATTTCTACCCAATCTGAAGGAATCTCGGCTCTTGGTGGGAGTTTATTAAGCCCATATTTTTGTCCGGTTCCATGTAGGAATGCCCACGAATAGGAAAAGTAACTATAACATAATCAAGTCTATGTGTATTGTGGACAATATAATGCAAAAAAACGAAACATCGTGTTTTTTTTTTGCCCTCCACACGAGTCGCAGAATATTTCAAGCGATCTTACTTGTAAATCGAGAAAATTCCATAAAAAGTCATTCAGCATTGAGCATACATCATCGCTTCCCTTTTTGCCAAGTGTTTCCGGGTAAATGTAAAACACACTTTTTGCTGTAGATAGAATGTGGATATTAAAGGCATAGACGTTCAGCTGGCTCTTATAGTAAACATCGTTTGTTGTTATGTTTGGGACACTGAGATTTGTCCAAATCGAGACAAATAGCTTCGTGAGTCACAGAGGTTCGACTTCGTTTCTTCGCAGCCCTTTTTCTACTGTAAAATACCTCAGCCTTTCTTTTGTGTACATCATTTTGTATTGTAATATGGCATATTTCCTTTTAAAAGCGTTCTTTTTGAGCAATATCCATACTCTTTAAAACATCAGACTGAGATTTTATTTTTATAAGAAACTCATCGCAAGAACTACATGTATCGGTCCTGGGATATCCAAAGGCTATGTTGAATTTTGTATTAAAGACTGTTCTGTACGACTCGTAAGATACTTTCATAGAGGGTTCAACTCGCAAAACATTTTGAACATCTTTTTATGTTTAAGTCTTCAGGTAAGTATAATTTTCTACTATCCTTCACACTGTAGTGCTTTTCCTGCCTTTAAATGACTTATATGTTCGATATTGCTGCAAGAATGTGAGCATCAAATTTCCTAGGATGGTTTTTATTTTCTCCTCTTTTATCTTTTGAGCGACTCCAGTCATTTTTAGTGACTTTTGTAGTATTTCTAATTTTTTTCTTTATTCCATGAACACACAATAAAAGCTGTCTACAATATTTATTTCCTGTAAGCTATTATCAGTTCTAAAACGTACCCTGTAAGAATATGCACTACTTCTCAAATTTGCTACGTCTTCATCTTTCCTAGGCCTTCTTCGGCGAATGAGGAGTACCGTAATCAATCCACATAAGTAGGAGTTCTGCTCATTAATAGAAGTCATTGCGTTTAAATTCTTGAGAATGGTTTTTCTTGCTTCTTCAGGTACATTTTGAAACATTGTTTACGACAGTTACAATTTGCACCTACCTAGTGGCTCTGCAGTCTAATCTTTTTCATGACATCTCTCATTCAGCCGTACTTTTCTCTTTTTTGATTCATTCTGTCTAGATACTACTTCACTCTCATTTCCGCTACTATGTTCTCAGTATCATTGTTATTTACTTTTAAATTACTTGAAAAACATTGAAAACATTGAAAACACTAACTACTCCGACTAATCTAACTCTAAACTGCGCGTATTAGATCGACATCTATCAGCTGTTTATATGGACTTTACCCTTTTAGGACTGACTGATGCGGACTTGCCTCCTATTGGCGGGTGTATGCGTAAACAAGAATTAGAATTTCACAGGCACTAAGCGCTTTTAGGACGTGTTCAAGTCGCTGACCACTTCTACGTTAAAATTGCTACAAGATGGCACCACTAGATCTATTGTGTAAAATTACGACTTGCCCCCTTTTGGACCTGTACCCTTCATATATATATATATATATTATCTATATATATATATATA